TTTTGCATCTGGGAAGGCTGCAAAATGTAATAGAAAGAGCATTTGACTACAAGTCAGACTCCAATTTAGAGCCCCAGCTCCACTGCTTATAGCTGTGTGACCTTGGGTTAGAGGATTCACCCCCAGAAATGTCGGTTGCCTCCTCCACACCACTGGAACAGGGTCTTCCTCCAGGGGGCTGTGAGCAGTTGATGAGATCCATATGTGCTTATTTGGATGTTAATATATGCATATGGACATTTTGCAAACAGTTTGATGCAACTGGAACAATAAGGGAGCTGTGTGCTCAGTGGCCATCAGCCTAGGATCCTGGGTCCGAATGCCTTGTTTTGCTGCCAGGGTTCCATGACCTTCCAGCTGTGTGTCCTGGGGCACATCACCCAATCTCTCTACAAAACTGGGGATCATTATAACACCTAGATCACTTTATTGCTGTGAGAATTAAGTGAAATACGTGCATGTGTGTATGCATTGTATGTATGTGCATCTATATATAATACATGTACATCTATATACCATATGTAAATATGCACATATGTGTATGGTTTAAAGTAGTGTCAACACATAAGAGTCTAATAAACTTGATTACTTGTTATTATTCATTTAATTTTGTATAACCCATCCCTTTTGGATACCTAGTTTGGTAATCCTGCCCTGGATGAAGAACCCTCTTGGGAAGCACTTCCAGGGCCTTCAGAAAGATCATTTTGTATGACAAACTGGATCATATCACTCCCAAGTTCCAGCCCATCGATACGGGAGAACAAACAGGGCCGGTTAGGAGGCGCTCCCTACCACCCTCGAAACGCAGACTTCACCCACTCAGGCCTCTCCAGTTTAGGTGCTTCTGCCGAGTGCCTTCTGCACGCCTCTTCTCTGGGTGCATTCCCATTTGTTCTGCAAATCACAGACCAACTGTGCCATACCAGCTCCATGCCCCTGCCCAGCCCCCACCTCGGGCTGGGCTGGGTGCTCCTCCTTGGAGCTCCTGCAGGCTGCTTTTTGGCACTCTGTCACAGTCCTCATCCTGGGGTGCAATTGCTTGGTCCCTAGAATGAGTGCCTTTCCACCTGGAAAGCTGCTCAGATGCAGGGCAGAGTCTTATGCATGATTTTCCTCCCAGGGGCTGGTTCACTGCTCGGCCCAGATGGTTGTTGACAGAATGAAGGGCCAATTCAAATGCTGTGAGAAGCAAGTCTTCTAATTGCTTTAAAACAATTTATTTCAGACCCACTATGAAAGTAACCAGGTTATACCCTAAATTACGTTTTATTTTCTAGAGATCTATAACACCATCCTTGAAGGATAGAGATTTGTCGCCACCAAGTACATAGGAAAGATTGAGCAGATCCATCCCAGCTAACTAGACATCCCTTTGCCCTGTCAAGTTGACACATAAAATTAACTGTCACACATTTACTTAGTGGACTTTAAAAAAATTTCCCTGAATTACTGGATAGCTCCTTTTCTCCAGGGTAGACATGCAATCTAAGAGCAGATGACCTCCACAAGAGAAGTATCTTTGAGAGAGTGACTTAAAAACTTTTACTGAAATCTAGTGAAATTGTTCCAGCCAGCCATGCTGTAATCCAACAGTTCAATTTCTGCCTTGTCTATCCTGGCTCAGCTCTGGAAAGTGGCCATCTATCTCACCAATGTCCACATGACTTAGTGTCTAAGGGATTTGGGCAAATGGATCATCTGTTGCACACTAGTGTAGCAAGGACTACAATAATTCATAAACGGCACATGTGTACCCGATGGGTAAAGAAACTCCTTTCTGCACCTCTGGAGAAGCCCAACAAGTCAACAGAGGCAGGCTGTGCCACGGCGCGACCTTCTCTACCAAATGTGGCATGGTGCTCACAGAACCAGGCGTGTGCATTTAAAGGTAGTGAACGGCTGAGTGGACAAACAGTTGGACACACATCGAACCATCCCTTTACTACTGTTCTCCTCCTTCTCCTTTGTCATCATTTTGTGCTTGTTATTCGTATCAAAGTTATAGATGAAACAGTCAATGAACTAAACAGTTCTGCAAGTCATGTTGCAACAATCCCTCTCCTTTTCTTCCCCATGTATCCTTCTCCATCCACTCTTCTCCTTCAGGTTACAATTTTGGCATCTAACTCCTTATCTCTAAATGGTAGACCTCCATGACTCCTTCGCTGTTCAATTCCAGGCTCTCTGCGCCGGCTTCCCGCTATGGAAGACGAGAGTCTAGCAGTCTTTCCTCTCCCAGGCCCCAGGAGACCAACTCCTCCCTCCCATTCCCCCATTTTCCCAATGGAGTACTACTGACCTTTTGATTAAATCCATTTTCAGTGTTTAGGTGGTTATGATGAGGTATTACACAGAGAGACGACCCATGTAGTGAGCCTTACTATGCACAGAGGATGTCCTGTACAACATTTTACTCCCTAGAATTAATAATTGCTTTTCTATTTAGTTTTTTTTTTCTGAACTTCTCATTAATTCAACTTCAGATGCTTTACCAGCTAAATAAATCTTCTCTCAAGGCAGCCAGATCCATCAGGAATTCTATCAGTTCACTCTTCCTGAGGAGGTATCTCCCAGGGTCTTCTGACCCACTGCAATCAGAACTGGGCATGGTCTACACCGGGGGACAAATGACATCCCTTCAGTGTCAGTCTGGCAGATTCCTGTGCTTGTCCCCTTTGCGGGAGCTCCAGCTTCCTGTGTTCCATTTCTTTCTCCTCCTCAATGTATTCCTTCATTTCCCTTTCATCTCATTTTCCTAATACTTGAGAAAAGGTATATGGGAGGTACATTTTTTGAGCCCTGGAACTGGCGGAAATGTACAGTCTCACACTTGATTGATTAGCACGTCAGTACTGCCTTCTAGCACTTGAGAAATTCACAACTATTCTGATTCTTCAGCCTATATGACCTGTCGCTCTTCTCTGAAAGGTCATCAGATCTAAAATTTGTTTTGGTCTGTGTCTATTTCTAGTCATTGCTCTGCACTCTTGGTAGATTTCAATCTAGAAACTTACATATTTCAGGTCTATGAGATTTTATTTAATTATTTCATATTTCTTCCTCTATGTTTTCTCTCTTCTCTTTCTGATGTTGAAATCTCTGGACTGGTCCTCTAATTTTCTTACCTTTTTTCTCATATTTTCCTTTTGTCTTTTTACTCTACTTTGTAAGACAGTATAAAGACCTTGTCCTCCAGCATATTTTTTGAGATTTTTATTTCTGCTTTTATACTTTTAATTTATAGAGCCCCAATGTTTGTTCTCTGAATTTTAAGAAATGCTATTTCTTGTTTTACAGTTACAAAAGTCTTCTTATCCCTCTGAAAATACTGATCATAGTTATTTTGATGTTTTCGGAGTCTCTGTTTATTCCAAACTTCATTTTTTCCATTTGATTGTTTAGATCTTGATGTTTGTGTTCAATTTCCCTGGGTGTTTGATAATCTTATGTTGTTGGTACCCTGACTGGGAGCTAACAATGAGCTATGTTTGTCAACTATGGATGACCCTCTAGCGTGTCCTGGGCAACCTCTGACATCACAATCTCTTTTCTCTTGGTTCAGTTACAACACACCTGAAATCACTTGAGTGTCCTGCCTGGAGCGTGCAAACAACAAGGCACCATTGTCTGATCCCAGTTGGGGTGGGAGGGTGTTATTTCAGCATTTGGTATGTGTATGTTTAGATAATCTTGCCATTTTTGGTGCAATATCCCAACCCAGGCAGGCTTGTTGTCCATCAGCCCAGACATTCTCTCTTTTACCCTTCTTGGGGGAATAACCCTCAGTCTTCTTGGGTGAGGAAGGGGCAGGCCTCTAGCTTTGCAGAGTGGGTAAACGGGTCTGGGGTTCTTAAGAAGTTTTCAACCACTTCACCTTATTTTAGCCTCTATTTTCACCACCCTCCCCCCATTCTGTAGATACCAGGTGCTGCCAACTCCTGAGCCTCTGAGGGATTCTTTAGTATCTATCAGTTCTTAACTTTCCCCAGTGGCCACTTAAGATTCAGTTTCTGGTAACCTAAGCTGGTAATCCCTCTACACCTTCTTTCCGACTCCCCTCAATGTTTTGCTGTAGTCTCTATTCGGTTTTCCCTGTCCTCATACATTTATCGTTTTTCAGACACCCCTTCCTGTCATTTAATGGAGTTTCAGAGGGGAAAAATGTAGACGTGTGTTTGTGTGTGTGTGCACGTGCACACTTAATCTGTCATCTTAGAAGTGCAAGTCCTTGTCTTTTCCAAATCTTCCAAAAATATTTAAGTGAGAAGATCAGCTAGGCACAGTGCAAGGCCGCAGGCGATCAAGTCTGGTGCCCTCACACCAGCGCCTCTGCTGGGGTCAGTAAGAAGACGGTGTCAGTGATGCCAGCACTTTCCAAAGCCTCTTGTTGGGCTCCTACTTCTGCTACACACTCGCTCTGCTCAGTGTGGGATGTGGCGCTGCTGCGCACAGGAGGGGAGAAGAGAGGTCCCTGGGGAGGCAGCAGAGACTCAGCACCTCCACACAAAGCCCAGAGCCAGCATGGAGGCTTCCCAGAAGAAAAAAGTCTTCCACAATGCACAGCACTGATCCCAAAGTATGAAAAGGAAGAGAGTGAAATCCCTCACACTCCAGACTCATTGGTAGAATAATGCCACTGTGACCCTTCTGGCCTGAGATAGGAGGGACAGAATGTTCCAGACTCCCCAAGGCTGGGGCAGAGAAAATAAGGCCAACCACCAGCCCTGTCTCTAAAGGTGGGATACAGGTGTGTGTGTGTGTATGTGTGTAAACAGCAGCAGGCCACCAGCTGGTCCACCTCGATTCAGGCAATGAGGCCGTACGCTGTCTGCAGAGGATGCATAAGAAATGAGAAGGTGTTCTGCTCTGTGTTATCCCATGCACTGCCACCTCTAAACAATGTCAGAGATAAAACACTCTCCCGCTGCCGCGGACTGCTCCTGACACCCTACCCCATGCGCACCACTATCCTAGGCATCCCACCAGCACCCAGTTACCTGTGGATGATGTGGTACCTCTGCAGATACTCCAGGGCCAGCACCAGCTCACAGATGTAGAGCTTCACAGCCCCTTCTGTGAAATGCACGTTCTGCTGCAGGTGGTAGCGCAGGTCCCCCCCAAGGAGCAGGTCCACCACCATGAACATGTCCTCCTCGTCCTGGAAGGAGTACCTACAAGCACAGAGTGACAGCAAAGGTTAGGGACAGACATCCTCAAGACCAATACCCCCATTTTACGGAAGAGCAAACTGAGACTTGGAGAGAGGCACTGATGTTGCCTGAGTCATGGTGATATGAGTGTGGGGCGGGGAGAGGCTTTCAATTCCCAGGCTGCCCCCATACTGTTGGGGTTTCCTGATTCCCTGCATAGCAAAGGCAAGCAGGAGTACCCAGCGTCTCTTCCCAGGCACTGGCAGACAGATGACCTTTAACCAGTACTGGACTCTGACATGTTACTTCAGCCATGTCTAGCAGATGCTTTTATTAGACGTTGTCAAGATTTATAGGAGTTAGTCTCCAGAGATTCAGCCCTCTCCCCCCAAACCCCCTGGTTTCCTTTCTGTGCATGCTGTTCTGCACATAGGGCTTGTTTCTGCAGCCCTTGAATGCAGTAATGTTCTGGGACATCCAAGTCCAGGTCTTAAGGGAACCAATAGTTTATAATTCTTGCCTCTTGGAACTGGGCCAAATTCCAAGCCACATGGAGAGGCTGTGAGAAAGAAAACCAAGGCGCTCTGGTCAACGGTCCCCACTGCGCAACACATGACAGCTAGCACCAATGGCCGGCCACGAGAGTGAGCCTCCTTGGGCGTTTGGATCTTCCGCTGCAGCCCAGGATACCACGTGGAGTAGAAGAATTGCCCAGCTGAGCCCAGTTACCCCATAGAACATGACATGATATTAATAAAATGGTGAGTTTTTTAAGCCACTAAGTTTTAGGATGGTGTTTTGTTTTGTTTCCAAAGCAATATAAAACTGATACAGTATTGATATAGTATTGAATTCATTTCTTAAAAATGCCTTTGGGCTTCCTAAGGACTGAAGAGCCTACGTACAGAATCTCAGAATGTTCGTCAGCTGTAGGATAGCATCACATCATCAAATGTTGTCAAGCTCCTTACAGATTCATGGAATGTAGCAACAAAATCATGTAATCAAAGAGTTTCAGAATGTGATCATGGAAGCTTAGACCTGTGTCTTAGATCCTTGCATATTGGACCTGGATCAGCCAGGCTATTCCCCTCACTTGACAGAACATGAAACTGAGGCCCCAGGGAAGAAGAGACTCGGTGGGTCAGTGTCAGGATGGGGCAAGAACCCAGATCCCGGACTCTCGCTCCCTCCCGTGCCCTGCGACCACACACTGCTGCGATGCTCATGTGATGCACACACGCTGTGTTTCAGCGATCTGGGAGTGCAGCCCCGGGAGGGAGACTCACGCACGGTTTGGTCCCAGGAGAGGTGACAGAATCACATGCTTACAGGATAGGAACCTCCAGCCCCATATGGTAGAGACTGGGACCCAGGGGAGAGGAAATGGCTGGCCAGAAGTAGCAACCCTCCTTGTGTATCTTACCCGCTGCTTATGATTGTTCAGAATTGAGGCAAGGAACAGGGGAGCTTTTTATTGTGCCCCTAGAATCATGAATTTAGTGGACATTCACAGAACACCTCTCTTGTGACAGGCATCGGGCTGTGCGCTGGGAACACGGGGACAAAGAAACTGTCCTCGCCCTGAAGGAGCACACAGGCTCCTAGGAGACTCAAGCCGATAGTCACAGACAGTGCAGGGGCTTTGGGTGCAGCGGGCATAGGGAGGGTGGAAGTCAGGGCTCCAGCAGGTGGGGGTGGGTGGGAAAAACTGGGACAGTCTTTGCGGATGAGGGGTTTCCTGGGTCAGGAACACACAGTGGGGCTGTGACTCAGACGGGGACAGCATGACCCAAGGCTAGCTCAGGGCCCATGTGGGTCCACCTTTGGAAGTCACCATACTGACATGGCTGGGCAAGAGGGATGTAGGATACAGTGCTGGCCCTTCATGGGAAAGAGGGACAGGAACACCCTACAGGATGGAATGCTGGGTCTCCTACTGGGGACATATAGGAAGTGCTGCAAGAGCAGAGGAGATAGGCTAAAGCTGCATTTCCCAGGCACCTCCAGACCAAGGGGCCCTCCTTCCTTTCAAAGTGAAGCCGCCAGGAGTATCCAGGGGTGGCTATAGCCTCATTTGCTGCCCAGACTTTCCCAATATTTCCAGGTAAGGGGTTAAAGGGAATCATTTGCAGAAATTTCAGTGAACAAGTTTTGTTTGCCCAGAAAACTTTATTTTTTTAAATTCTATTCTATTATGTCAAGAATTTTGTAACATACAGAAAAGTATACTCTAATTTCTATTCTGTTCCATTGATCTCTTTGCCTGTCATTAAGCGAACATCATTCATTCACTCAACAAACACTTACTGAGTGCCTCCAGGTGCTGTGCTTGGCCCACAGGCAGGAGCAACCGTGGAGACCAGGCCCTTCCTTTCACGGGCCCTAGATTCTCATGGAGGACAAAAGCTGTGGAGAAATGAAGCCACGAGGAGGAGACTGGCTGGGGGTGTGGGGCGAATTTAGGAAGGTGCCGGGGGAGCCCCTCTGAGCAGAGGCCACTTGAGCTGAGCCAGTCGCAGGAAGACGGGGCTGGAGGAGGCAGTGTGGAGGGAACATCCTTTGCAAGTGCAAGGCTCTGAGACAGGAAGAAGCTGGGAGAGGCTGACGGTGTGGCCGGAGCAGAGCTGGTGAGACCACCAAGGCTTGAGCTGGGGCCCTCGCAGCCCAGGGAGGAGACTGGATTCTGTTTCCAGGAGGATGGAAAGTCAGCTGAGAGTTAGGCTGGGGCCTAACTCTGCTTCCTGTGACCTGGCTGCTTCCTCCTTATGAAGATCTCTCTGGATACAGCGTAGAGAATAGGTCTGAGAAGGACTCTGGGCACAAAGCCAGTGGGATTCCCTGGAGGGCTGGATGGGGACTGTGGTGCCACGGACATCCCTCTGGCACTGGGAGTCCTGGGCTCTGTGGGAGCCTCAGGGCCAGCACTTCCCGTTCCCTATCTCCAGTGCCTTAGCCGTGGCCCACCCAAGGGTGTGACCCGGGCCAGCTTTGTCCCCGCTTGTCTCAGAGCTTGCTCAGCTGGAAGCAGGTGGGCGGGGTCTTGCTCGGTGGCCCAGGGACCTCCGGAGAGCACCAGCTCCACCTCAGACCCAGTTCGGGGAAAGTATAACCTCAGTCCGGCATTCGATCTCTGCCACAGCCGTGCACTGCAGGAACAGCGACACATCGGCAGAAAGGTTAAAAGGTAAAGCTTCCTAGTGCCTCCCAAGCTGGAGGTACTGACCTTTTTCAAATGCAATTTTTTCCAGTTGGCCCATCTGGTTAGCATGTCTGGGCCCATGCAAGAACCAGACTGAAAAATTCTCCTTTGACTTTCGTTGGAACTATATTGAATTTACAGATTAATTTAAAGAGAACTAACATTTTTATGATGTTGGACATTTCCAACCATGAACATGGAATATCTATTTATTCTAATCTTCTTTTATGATTATCAATAAAGTTTTACAATTCTCTGCTTCACAGCCTGGTATCTATGTATTTTTATTCCAAGACTTTGAAAGTAGTTTTTATTGCTATTGTAAATACGATCTTTTTCAAGAAAGCTCACTAGCGGGTCCTCACGAGGTTGAAAGAGCACTCTGAAATTGCATATATTTATCTTGTATGTAGAAACTTGGCTGGTCTCGTAGTTACCAGTTCTAACGCTTTTCCCACTGATGCTCCGGGGTTTGCTTATTACATGAAAATTTCTGTATCTTCTACAAAAAAACTGCTATCTTTTAAATATTCCAATCCTTATCCTCTTATTTCTTCATCTTGTTTTACTTCACTGTCTGGGGCCTCCAGTGAAAGGCTGACCAGGAAGGGTGATGGTAGCATTTCTACCTTGTCCTGAACTTAAGCATTTCCCCATTAAGTAAATTGTTTGCTGCATTTGAAGTTGATCATTTATCCTGTTAAGAAAGTTGCTTTCTGTATTGCTAAGAACTTTTATCATGAGCAGGTGTAGAGACTTTTTTTCTTTAATGTTAAACTGTTTTTGCGTTTCTAGACTAAACCCTACTTGTTGATAAACACACACATGCACACACACACACAGACACATATATTTTACTGGACTCAAGTTGCCAATATTTTGTTTTGGGTTTTTGCATCTAATGTTCTGAGTAACACTAACCCTGACAGTCCTGCCATGGTCCTAACCCAGGTTGGCATCATGGTGGTACTGGCCTGGTTGGAGGAAGTGTTTAGCTGTTCCTCTCTGGTCTGTACGTGGGAAGGGTGTACAGGGGCGTCACCTGTAGAAAGTCTGGTCTCACAGGCCCTCCATCCCTTACTTGTGATTCATGTGGGATTCTCCTTCCTCACTTGATGTGCTCCTGTTGGTGCTATCAGATGGTTCATGTGCTTCATCCGCAACAAAAAGATGAGCAAATAAATAACTCAGGCTGACCAGGAAGTACAGGCATACCTCATTTTATTGCACCTCACAGGTGTGTTTTTTTGCAAATTGAAGGTTTATGGTAACACTGCATCAAGCAAGTCTCCCAGTGCCATTTTTTCCAACAGCCTGTGCTCACTTTGGTTCTCCGTGTCACATTTTGGTATTTCTCCCAATATTTCAAACTTTTTTGTTGTTATTAGATCTGTTGTGGTGGTCTGTGATCACTAATATTTGATGTTGTTATACATAGTAATTGTTGAGACACCACGAACCACACCCATATAAGACGGCAAACTTAACTGATACATGTTGTGCGCTTTCTGACTGCTCCACGGATCGGTCATTCCCCCAACTCTCTCACTCTTCTGGGACCTCCCTATTCCCTGATAACCCTACAATGGCCTCTAAGTGTTCAGGTAAAAGAAAGAGTCATACATTTCTCACTGTAAATCAAAAGCTAGAAATGATCAAGCTTAGTGAGGAAGACATGTTGAAACCTGAGACAGGCTGAAAGTTAGTCTTCTTCACCAAACAGCCAAGTTTCCAATGCAAAGGAAAAGTTCTTAAAGGAAATTGAAAGTGCTACTCCAGTGAACAAACCAATGAAAAGAAAGCAAAGCAGCCTTATTGT